GGCATCATAACCATCTGAAACTGGTAACTCCACAATGAAATTCACTGATAGGGAAGTCCAGGGCCCTTCAGCCTTCTGAAATGATACCAACAACCCTGTTAAAGGTTGACGATTTGGTTTCATTTGGTTGCAGATCAAGCACTATATGCAATACCGTCCCACCTGAGCAGCAAGCCCTTACAATTGTAGGTGCGTCATATTAACTCTAAGGTATTTTCTTTACCAGGATGACCAATGGTGAGTCCATCATGATGGTCCTAGATGATTTCCAGGCGCAGTGGTCCAGCAGGAACCCATAGGCGCCCCTGAAACCACACCATTTCATCCTTCATGTGATAACCCCTGGATAAGTCCTCCTAATTTAAAGCGCTCTTAGAAAGTATCATAGTATATTCAGCTGATAGCGGCTGAGAAAGGACCGCCTTTTTGAACATACTATATTCCTCCGCAGTTTCCAGAGGTGTAAGCGCTGGCCCATTGGCCGGGGGAGAGGAAATTTGAGACACAATTTTATTTGGCGGAATCATCATCTGTGTGTTATGATCTTCTACCTCTTTAGGATCAGGAACTGAGCAGGGTTGCGGCTCAAAGCATCCACCAAACCATTATCCTTGCCCTTGGTGAATTCATAAGAAGATACAAATTGGGCAAGGGTCTCATGCCATCGGGTCTGCCATGGGGTTAGGACATGAGGGGCGCGGTAGCACAGCAAGGCACAGTGATCTGTACGTACCTGGAAAGGTTGGGAGGAGCCATGCAAGTGGTGACGCCAATAAGTCAGCGCCTCCACCACTTCTAATAACTACTTGACATAAACGGCGTAATTCAGCTCAGGCAAATACATTTTCATAGGAAAATATCTCACAAAATGCTCTAACTCATCTTCGCCTACTTGTAACAATGCAGACGCTATGGAAAAGTTGGATGCATCAGTAGACACAATTAACTCTTTTAAAGGGTTGACATGGCGAAGGACAGACGTGGACAACAGGGTGCACTTTACTGCTTGGAAAGCATCCTCCAAAACGGAGGACCACTGAAGTACCTTTGCACCGCTAGCCTTATATAAGGGTGCTGCCACCTCGGAAAGATTGGGCATGAAATTCTTGAGGAACGTACACATCCCCAAAAAGCTCCTTATTCCTTGATTGAGGTGGGGTAAGCCACTCAAGAATCGCCTTCTACTTGTCTGGAGTTACTATGTGTCCCTGATCAAACACGACGTTGCCCAGAAAAGTGACTTGGGATTTGAAAAATTCACACTTGCTAGTCTTGAGCGTAAGGCAAGTGGCCCTCAATCTCTCCACTACTTGTCAAAGGTGTACTGCATGGGACTCATGATCAGGGGAAAACACCAGGATATCGCCCATGTAGGCAACCGCGCATACCCCTAACAAGTCCCCCAACGCTGCATCAATGAGGCGTTGAAAAATAGCAGGGGTATCCTTAAGCCCAAAGGGCATGACCCAAAACTGGAAAATCCCTTTTTTGGTATAGAATAAGGTTAACCACTCTTGCCCCTTTTTAAACCAAATATGATTGAACGCATTGAGGCAATCCAGCTTGGAGAAAAACTTAGCCTTCTCACCATAGTGCGCAATCTGAGAATCTAAAGGGATGGGATGTAGATCTGGTACAGTGACATCGTTGAGGTTCCCATAGTATACACAGGGCGTAGAGTACCATCAGCCTTCTCAACAAAGAGAAGTGGGGAGCATACAGGGGAGGTACGCTGAAAAATCGCGCCTTTGGCTAACTGCTCCTTCACCCACACATCTAACGCCTCTTCCTCCCGGACTTTTAAGGGGTAAATGGGAGAAAAAATACGCTCCAGATCCACAATGACTTTGAAGTCACAGTTATACTTGGAATGATCAGGTAGTGCATCAGCTAAAGCTGCATCAAAGGAAGATTCCAAACCCTCCAAACAAGAAGGTAGGGGAACCACCACAGTGGGCTTCAGCATAGAGGTAAGGCTAAGGGTGCGAAAGTGGGGCCAGTGGGGCAAGTCATACTGAGCGTCAGCCTCAGAAAAAGGAACAACTAATGTGCAACCATTCTTTAATTTTAGATATAGGGTATTATCTTTTAAGTTGGTTTAACGTCAAACTTCCGCCACCACTCCACATCCAAAATGATAGGGTACAATAGGTTTTTGATAGCATGGAAGTGATCAGACGAGTGGTATTTGCCAACCTGATAGTCATTTGTCCCAACGATCTTCAGAGTGGGAATACATTGGGACGCCCCTCCCCTAACCATACTACCTGGCAATTAACTCAGCCCAATGTAGTCGGCTAGGCTCTGGTCCATAAAGTTTTCCGTGGCGCTAGTTTCCACCAGAATAGTGGTGCTGAATTTCCCTAAAGGGGAGGAAAGGATAGCAGTCAGTAGAAAATACCCCAAATAGTCTTTATTTAAAGCAGAAAACGCCAACACTTCATCAGAAATTCTTCCTCTGGCTCAAGAACGCCATCAGGGTATGTTAATGGAATCTTAGAAGGGAGCGGGATAGTTGGCCACTCTTACTACTGAAGCCACATATCCCACCGTGCCTTCTGCAGGTGCATATACCTTATCATATTTAAAAGGAAGTTCTTTCTCCACTTCCTGAGTACCACGGATTATGGTAAGGGGTCAAACGAGGGCTTCAGGGGTAATTTGATATACTGGATAGGGTTCTCATCCAAGTCGTAAGAGCTAATAAATGCTCAGAGGTATGGATAAGGTTTTCATTATAATCACGTTTTTAGATGTAAACGACCCTATCCCTTTAACAGCAACGGAATGCCCAATGTTATCCAAAGTCAACGCCCCAGGCCCATTGGTGCTAATTCCACCGGCATCATCTGAACATGCTGTTGAAGTAAAACCCAATTATATAAATTGAATTTGGTAATTTTGGCGGAAAGTCAGGAAAAACGACTTTTGGACCTGGAAGCGTCCATATCCACCAGGTATGAGCATGAAGTTGGGTACTTTCCAGTTAGAGGGCAGCCCTAATAATGCCGAGATGCTCCAACCTTTGGGGAAAAGAGGAAACAGTGTTGCGACTGACCACAGATGAAGCCACACCTGGTGCCCACTGTTTACACTTTGGAAAAGTCCCACATAAAAAAATTTGTGCACATAAAATTAAATGGTTGGTTGACTAATGTAAGGAGAGTGTCTATAACTCACCTGTTCCCAGCGTGGTAGTGCTTGGTGCACAGGGCCAACGCCAGGGAACTAGCCATTAGTGCAAAAGTTATTAGAGCACAGCAGAGGGTGATGAAGCCATAAAAACTTAAGCAGAGAAGTGCGATCATGATAATAAACAGCCTATAAAAAGTGATGCGGTGCACAAGGGAAAAGGGGTTAAGCAACTCAGGTTGGAGGGAATCTGGGTGAACCAACGGTGTACTAGGGGATAGCCTGATTGTATCTAAAATAGCAAGGTTAATGGAGCGTGAGACCTCCATAAAGAGGTTTGCGCACAGGATTATCCAAAATAACAAAATAAAACGTAAAACGGGAAATCTTCTTGGGAAAAGTCGACCAAAAAGGAATGTTGGTCATAAAACTAGATATAAACTTCATTGGGGAAATTTGGGGTCTGCCAAAGCAGTCCCAAGCACTGATTTACCAATAGGAAAACACTCTTATCCAAATTGGAAGTACACTGACACTGACTTCACTAGAGTAATCAATTGCAGTTGTATCTGACCCAAACGCATAATTTCATAGATGAAACAAGTTTTGATCCCATGTTCCACAATTAACTAAATCAAACCATCTGCATTATTTAAGTAAACCATCCGTTTTAACGCCTGGGTTGATGCAAGGGGCTGGGCGTTAGGCACCTCACTAGTACCAACCTGGGCATATTTGGCTTGTACCCAGCGTTAGTCTAGTGTGTGCCTAAGGTCAGGGAGGCCTGAAGCTTCACCTTCTGGCCCTCCTGTCGCCCAGCCTTATCTTTGGGTTTGGTACCCACTATCATGCCATTTAACCATGACAAGAATGTCCAACGATAAAAACCTAGCCAGGATGGGGAAGACCATTGCTGCTGAGATGAGGATGGGTGTTTAAATGGCAATGGCTGCCATTTAATTGAAGAGATGTCAACCGAGGGTTATATGACTGAATCCCCACTATAAATTCCCTATAATTCACCAATAATAAAAGCAGTCAAACAGTCATATAGTTCTACAGTTATACAGTTCTATAGTTGTCTTCCAATATAGTTTAAGTAATAAAAATTATCAGCTTTCAAATGGTCTATTCTCTCTCAGGGTATTATTGCTGTGTGCAATAATTGGGAGACCCTTTAAGGAAAAGATTAAGGATATGAACGGGGATCCAGAGAAGAAGCAGAAACAATAGGGGATTGCTGCCAACTGTGTATCAAATTGGAGAAACTTTCACCTGGGAATCTCAGAGAAGATTAAGTTGGACAGTATGAGGGAACGAATTCCTATTTTGAGACATCTCAATTATTTTGAGCTGAAATACTGGCCAAGCGTTGGGCTGAGATCTAAGAATTCTTTCTAAATATGGATAATAGTCAATATACCTTTATCAACCAACAATATCAAATACTATACTTCATGTTCAAATTGCACAAGAACTGAACCTGTTCAAGTAAAAAGTTTATAGGGTTATTGGCCAATAATAACCAGACCCATAAAATTCAACTAGATATGTACAATTAATGATCACAAAAAGAAATATAATGGTACCATTCAGGATCTTAATAACTATAAAAATTTTTTTGCCTTGGAGATGCTACCAAAATTTATAAGGACTTGTAAATGCTCATCCTATTTATAAAAAGTGCTTACAAGCATTTAATATTGTAAATTTAGAAAATTTCTAGATTATAGGTTTAAGATAGATAAATATGGTAATAAACGCGTTGAGGCCCCCTTTTTGGTTTGCCCCAGTAATATTAAATAAATATGCACTTATGATATTTTACTTAGGACAGTCATCATGACGTGAAAATGGAAGTAAAAAATCTCTCAAGCGTGGAATTGAACCCCAGTCTCCCACATGACAGGTGAGGATACTTACCACTTTACTACTTGAAACAAAGAAAGATATTTTTTATATCACTGTTATAAATATTATAGGAGGTACTGGATACTTAATAAAGCTACCATGTAGTTGCACAAACCTGTAACCATAAGCTAGAGAAAGTTACTAAATAACATACAGATTTGAAACCTATTCTGTATAAAGCATATTTTTATTTCCTCTCTCCCCTCTTATCATTTACTAAGAACCAATATAGAGTTAAATAAAAAAGAATATTAAGGTGTTTGTCATTTGAGATGGTAACTGCTACTGCTTTTTCCTTTAAGTAGATTACTTTATAAAGGCTATCATGTTTATGATATTTGTTATATAAAATAAAACTAGATAGTAATATTCTCCTTTTTTAACCTTTTTTATAATCATTTTTGTTTAGCATCATTAGTATCCTTATATTATAGAGCACTTAGTATACTAATTTATTATTGTCTCAAGTTTTTAAGTTATTCAACATTTTACAATTTAGTATATGCTATTAGTACTATACTTGTGGCTAAGGTTCTACTTCCTTTTTTGATTAATTTTAAATGTATAATTTCTTTGTTATTTATTTTTATTGCATTATTAATAGAAGACGAGAATAATGATGTTCTCATAACAAAAGCTTTGGTGAATATGTGTTTATAGTCATTAAGTAAAAACATGATAACTGTTCATAACTAAATTTAATGATATTGTTAATTATAGTTTAAATGTAAGTTTTATAGGCATATCATATAATTCAAAATGTGCAACGTCTTTATGGACCTTCATTCTTCTTAGCATCATTTTTAATGGTTTCAATTTTAAAAACCAATCTAAAATTCTAATTTTATTTAAAAATTATAAGATATTAGCTATAGGAAATATAAATAAAGTACACTCTACGCTCATATGTTAGTGCTGCTTATCAAAGTCCAGAGTAACTTAGTAAAAAAGTAGTCTATGTGGGTTGACCTTGGGACAAATATAACACTCTGAGAATTTTCTAGCCAGTACAGAATTTTAACTTGTATTGAAAAAAAACCTGCACTAGGGTGAAAGCATGAATTTATCTGCCAGTATAACCACTCTTTCCAGAGTAACTTAGTATTTTCACTTTGTTTTGAAATTTAGTCAGTTGCTCTTGTCAATAACAGCTTGTATAAGATAGTAACTAGTTGGGTGATGGACATAATTTCAGCAGATGTTAATAGGTATCAGTGGTCAACACAAGGTTTTTACAATACTAAACGTGGCAAGGTATGCTTTCATTGTTATAAGTTTGTTAATATAGGGTGTTCATGGAAAGGTTTAAGGTGCAGATGGTAATGGAATGGTAACGTTGAAGGATTAAGAGACTAGCTTGCTATCTTTCAGGGTGAGGGCACTCAATGATGTGAGATGTTATACATATATGTCTATAATAATGCATATTGAGACTTAAAAACATACTAATAAGAGAAAAATTATTTATACAATGTATTGAGAACTATATAGTAGCTGCAAAAGCAATATTAGTGAAGCTGGCATAAGATACTTCGCTTGATTCATATTTATGAAAACTTTCTATTATCTGAATAAGCTACTTAAGGCTTATTATATTTATGAAATAGACCTTTACAGCAGGTGGGTGGTTGTCATGGTTGTCTGACATCATTGAGAGAACCAACTGCCAAGATAATGCTGGCCGTCAAGAGTCAAAAAAGGTCAAGCTACATGACCTCCCTGACTTAAGGCATACCTTGTACCAACGTTGGGTGCAGGCAAGATATGCCAGGTTAGTCCAGGTGAAGTGCATGATACCCATCCCTGTGTTATGGCAGTGGCGTTAAAATGGACTAGTTATCTTTTTAACAACAATGGTTTGGTTTGGTTGCTTAGAGAACGGGGTTCTAAACCCATTCAACATTCAACATTTCTAAATTGGGACGGCTCATCTTGAAATTAAGCCCTTGAGTTCATTTGATCTTAAGCTACAGTACCCTGGCCAATGGTGGGGTGCACTGATTGTTTGTTTAGGATTGGAACCATTTTCCCCAATTGATGACTCACCTCATATTGTTAAAAGTACATTCTCAAGACCAACTTTCCTCGTTGTCCATCTTCCTTATTACTAAAATCCCATTAGTATATGTTTGTAATATGTTACTTGGGCAAACCTGTGCATGGATCTCTTTAAGAGGTCTCTTAAAACGTCAGAAATTTTATTTGCACAAAATTAACTATCGCATCTGGTGCACCACTGGGCCTCCCTGGTCCCCTCCAGACTGTGGCACCCAAGCACTCCAGCCTAGATCTCCACTTGGATATGGACACCCCTTTGGGGTCCAACCATGTTTTGTCATATATTTGCTATCTTCTACTGTGAATCGCGTTGTACACCCTTGCCCTGTGTTAATTTAGCTCCAGCACCCTATGTGGGGCTATGCTCACCATCATACTAATGAATATTTCCCTTGCAGTGTGGCTGTGCATCTTTCACCACTTCGATGGAAATGAGAGAGTTATAGATACTCTCCTGACATTAGATGACCAACCTATTTTTTATGGTCATTAGAATTATCCTTGTGGGACTTTTGCAAAGTGTGAATTGGGTGTGCCAACTGCTAATCACGGCCATGTTGGGGCTTGTAAAAATTTATGGGTCTGATTTTAACGGCCAATAAACCCTATAAAGTTTTTACTTGCACAGGTTTGGTTCTTGTGAAAAATTGTCCGCGTTGTATAGAATTTGATATTATTAGTTGATAATAGTATGACGACTATTATCCATAGTTGAATGGAATTCTTAGATCTCAGCCCAACGCTTGGCCAGTATTTCTGCTCAAAATACTTGAGATGTCTCAAAATAGGGATTCATTTCCTTGTACTGTCTAACCCAATCTTCTCTATGATTCCCAGGTGACAGTTTCTCCAGTTTGACACACAGTTGGCAGCAATCCCCTATTGTTTCCGCTTCTTCTCTAGATTCCCGCTCAGATACTTACTCTTTTCCTTAAAGAGTCTCCCAACTATTGCACACAGCAATAGTATACCTGAGAAAGAATAGAATTTGAAAGCTAATAAAGTTTACTACTAAAACTATATACCGGATGACAACTATAGAACTGTATAACTGTAGAACTATATAAATGTTTGAATGTTTTTGTTATTGGTGAATTCTAGGTAATTTATAATGGGGATTCAGTCATCTAACCCTCAGTTGACACCTCTTTTATGAAATGGCAGCCGTTGCTGTTGAATCACCCATCCTTGTCTCAGTAGCAATGGTCTTCCCCATCCTGGCTAGGGTTCTGTCATTGGACATCCTTAAGACCTAAATGGAAAGAGTCAGAAAACGTGTCCCTAACATTTTCCTTTCAATCCAAGTGAACCAACCATATTTGGCTAGAAATCTGCTTAGGTAATGGGACTTATTACCCATTAAGGCAGGTCATGAACCAACTGATAGATTTTCTAGTTACATGTGGCATCACTCGCCTTGAAACTTGCTACTTACATTCCCTATCAGTCAGTGATGAAACCTGACCAATCCCAATCGGTACACCTGATAGTTAATCACTATCAGATGCCCCTATTTCATCGGCAACTCCACCCAAAAAGATTTTAAGCATTCATCCGGATTGATCCCTGACACATATGGCCAGGCAAATATCCTAAAATCCCCCAAACATAGTTACTCCAAAATCAGGGTCAACCAATTTCCAATTTACCTTGACTTAGGGAATTATCCCCTAGCAATTTCTAGTAATCTAGCAGGCTGGGAATATATGCAAAATCCCAACAGGGCTCACTACCATTTTCTCATTTTGCTGATGGTTGGTGCATATTGGCGTTGTTTTTGCTACCTCCAACTACTAAGTACCCACCCGCCTTGCTCATACCTGGTGAATTTGGACATTTTGCAATCCAAGTGTCCTGATTCCTTGAATTTCTCCCCAAATTAATTAACCAATATGATTAAAATGATTTCTTTTTGGCACCACATTTGGACAGTGCTGGTAGGATCATTGATGAGGTGCCTGGAGTGATAGCCTTGGATAATGATGCACAACCCACTTAAAAAATGGGTATGGGGTCGTTCATGTCCCAAAATGCGTTTTATAACGCAATTTCTTATACAAAAATGGCCAAATATCATCTCTTGTGCCTCTAATTTGGAATACATATAAGTATACCAGGTCACCCCAGAGAATACGTCCTTGACCACTACCCATGATCCGCAGAACACAGGTTGTGGAAAAGGAGTTACTTCTTCAATATAAAAATATCTATGCTATTGTTGAAGATATAGTGTGATATGTATTCTCAGCAGTAAGAGTGGCCCACTATCTCTCTCCATTCTATAATGCAGAAACATACCCTGGATGCTGCTTATGCCTAATGAAAAGTTTTCTGGGGAGGTGCTGGAGTTTTCTTCTTTGAATAAAGACCATTCAGTATATTTTTTTGTTGGCCGCTACCCTTTCATCCCCTTAAGGTAAAATCTGCACAACTATATTGGTGGATAAAAAAGCCTCTGAGAATTTTATTGACACAGACTTGGCTGACTACCTTGAGTTGAATTACTTTCTAGTTGGTATGGTGAGTGGTGGGCTTTCCAAGGTATACCCACGCTGAAAGTACTTGAGTTGTTGGATTATCAAGTTTTAAAATATTATTTGGCTAAAGGCTTCATGAAATCAAAAACCCCTTATATCCCTTTATTTTGGGAGTAAAGTGGTGGCTAAATCTAAGACAGTCCTAACTTGAAAGACAATATTTTGTCCTTAACTTTGGAGACTGGTCATATATTAGTTGTCATTTTTATTGAGGCTAATTCTCAGGGCAATCTGTCCCACTGTCCCAATATCCACACTATCATTCTTGCTCCATTGCTGAAGCCCTCTATTGAGGTACCTTTACCATCCTATTTGGAGGGGATGGAATCTTCTTTTGATGCGGCCTCAGCCAATGTACTACAAGCTCATTCAGAAATTGAGTGTGAGTTCAAGTTCACCATTGATCTGGTGCGTATATCTTCTCCCATTACCCT